GTTCCATGATTCATTGTTTGTGCATAACACCCAGTGCTCCATGCAGAACGTGCCCTCTTTAATACCCATCACCAGGCTAACCCATCCTCCCACCCCTCTCCCCTCTAGAACCCTCAGTTTGTTTTTCAGAGTCCATCGTCTCTACATGAGTCTTTTTAATTGCATGAGTTGTGAAAGCCATTTTTTTTTTTAACTCAGAGGCCATAAATTGTTATCTCTAAGTCCTCAGCTATGGAAGTTACTCTGACTTCTGTCAGTGTTTTCCAGTGCAGACTCTATCAGGAGGCTGGACAGGGCAATTTGGGCAGGACCGTTCTGCACAGTGCAAGACATTTAGTTCCTGGGCATTAAATGCCAACAGCACCCTCCACACGTTGTAAAACCCACCCCCAAAAAAACTTCCCAAGTATTTCTATATGCTAGGATGAGCCAGAAGATGACCAGTTCAAAGAGGACTCCCAGACTCATGCTCAGGCACACCCATATTCTATACCTCAGCTTACTTTCCGTATGTTTATTCCAACTAGGGAATCCAAGGAACCAGTCTGGACAAAAACAGATATCCTCTGCCCGTAAGCAAATTAAAGTGTCAAGCTGATAACATTTAGAACAGCAACCCGATCCCTAAAACTCCTCACCCATCTACCCATGCCAGGTCTCACTGTTCTAAGGGCTCTGCTTGTCTCAAGGCAAAGGCCCACTTAACAGACCAAGAGTACATAAAAGAAAGCTGGCAGATCCTGAATGTCACTGCGAACTTTATCTGATAAGAACTCTTATCACAATAGGAGCCCCTCTAGAAGAACATTCCCTGAAACTGTCCAGGAAAAAAAATTTGCACCTTTCCTGACATTCTTTCTTAGCAGGCAAGTTAGCACCTACGTATGTTTTTGTTCTCAGTTGCTTCAGCTGTCAACAATCTCACGTTCTCACGTCCACTACTCTACCACTAACAGCATCGCATTTAAGCACCTCTGTGGAATGCTCTGGCCACCCACTTACTCTAAGATAGACACTAACTTATTCGCAACTCAATTAGATGGAGAGGGTCAAAGACAAACTGCATATCACAGTTTTCCTACAAAGGTCCTATCCTCCCTCACTATAAAGAACAAAAGATGTATCTAAGAGCTTTTTGTCCCATGTTGTTAAATAAGTGTAAGAAGGCAGCCATCAGCTCAGAGCATCAAAGCAGAACTTCTGTATTGATTGCCTACATCATTCACTTTTAGACTAATTTATATACTTTTCTGTACTCTTTCCTGAGGTTTACTGTAATGGGTTAAAGGAATGGATTCTGGAAACAGGCCGCTTACTCACTAGCTGTATGATATTGGACAAATTATTTAACTGGTTTCTATCTCAGTTTCTTCGTGGATAAAGTAAGGATAATAGTACCTACTTCCTAAAGTTGCTGTAAGGATCAGATGAATTAATAATACAAAACCATTCAAACTGTATCAGAGGGAGCAATGTAACTGTGAATCACAAATACCACAAATGCAGCTGCTTTTAGTTTGTTGTGGTAGTTCTTCCTGTCTCTCCATCTCTATCACAGATTCCTTATAGCCAGGAATTTAGAGGGTCTGCATTTGTTTTGTGTTTTCCATGCAAGGCAAAGAATTAACTCCAAGAATAGATCTTGAGCGCTCACTGCATAAGCACCAAGGTATTAGGTATGGGAAATGTAAAGATAATTAAAACATGATACTCAAGGTATTCAAGGTCAGCGAAAGACCTTGTCATCATAAAACAAATACGATGCAGTACTAAAATGAGGTGACAATGAACTGAGTGTTTTAGAAGCACAAAAAACAAACTGCTGAGAGCAAGAGGGCCAAATCCTTGAAAGATGCATAGTTTTTTCACTATAGAAGGGAAGACAGACATTGCAGGTAAGGGAAAGAGTATACACACAGACATAGAGTTGGAAAAGTTCACAGTATGTTCTAGCAAAAGAGCACAGTCCAGTGTGACTGGAGCACTTGCAAAGTGGGAATAATATAGCTTGTGGCCATATTATACTGTTATTATAAGGTTATTATAATATAATACAATGTTAAAGATTTTGAACTTTTTCCCCATGGCACAATGGGAAGTCAATGATGGCTTTAAACACTGTACAGATATGATCAACTGGGTTTTTTTGGTTTGTTTTTGTTTTTTAGGAAAAAAAAAATTTGGAGAGATAAATGGACTAGCATTATGAAGCAGCGATAGGAGGGAGAAGGCTTTCGGCAGAGACACCAGTTTGAAGGCAGTTACTGTAGTCTACGGCAGGGATGTTAAAGATCTGAACTAGGACTATGAAGAGAACTTGGATTTAAGAGACATGTCAGGGGAAGAAAGGGCTCAGAGGGGGGCTGGCTCCCAGGAAAAAGAAGAGGAAAGGGTCCAGGTTCTCCAGGTGTGGTAAAGAAGTGCTGAATCACTATATTGTACACCTGAAACTAATATTACACTGTATGTTAACTAAGTGGAATTTAAATAAAAACTAAAAAAAGTCCAGTTTCTCATTTAATGTTGATGCCTGGCACCACCAGGCAGAGCAGTTACTAGATACTAGGTGCACCATCAACATGTGTTGGATTCAGAAGTTAACTTAGAATAGTGACCAAGCAGTGAATCACTAAACATCAGTATGTCCAAAATAACCACATCCTTGAAATAAAAGTAGAAGAGGCAGATTAAATGAAAGATTAAATATTGGGTGCTGGCTAGCATTATTTTTAAGGGGAAGAATGAAATCAGAATTTTCCCAAAGCATGTTACACAGAACCTGAGTCCCAAAATATATACCATGATACCACAGTTCCAAGGTCAAACACGTTTGGAAAATCTTGCACACCATATTCACCCTTAAATATTTACTGTAAACACTACCATAAAATACACTCTGAAAAATATATATATAATATATACACTCTGAAAAGTTCCATAATAAAAAAGATTAACTTTAATGAAAAGAGAATTTCCCAAACTTTTTTTTTTTTTAAAGATTTTATTTATTTATTTGAGAGAGAATGAGATAGAGAGAGAGCCTGAGAGGGGGGAGGGTCAGAGGGAGAAGCAGACTCCCTGCTGAGCAAGGAGCCCGATGCGGGACTCGATCCCGGGACTCCAGGATCATGACCTGAGCCGAAGGCAGTCGCTTAACCAACTGAGCCACCCAGGCGCCCCGAGAATTTCCCAAACTTTTGACCATGGGACATCACAAAATGTTCTAGAGAGCCAAGGACATGCTGGGGAACACTATACTTCGGAAAAAGCTTTTCAAGTAGTAACAAAAAGTTTCAGGGCAATCACAAGAAATCACACGAAAGTACAGAAAGTATAGAGACTATAGAAATGCAAAAATACAAACCTTCAGGTGAAGTTTTTGAAGAATTCGGGTGAGCAATCGTGGAAATCTTCCTATATCTATTGCATTTATCAGCGACACTGCTTTTTTCATGCTAAATAAATTTGTAAAACAAAATTTTAAAATGAGTTTTCCAAGTGGAACTGTTCCTGCCATAAGTACACTTATCTACAATTGCTATTGTCTCAAAGTTTCCATTTCAACAACTCCGATTGCTATGAAGAAGAACAGATGATGGCCAGCAAAGGAGGCAGGATGTTTCCAAAAAGATGCCTCCCAAAAATACTTCTGCATTTGGCAGTTTCTCTTTCTTTGGGGGCAAGGTGAGCTACTAGAGGAAGTTTGCACTCTGTGAGGAACGGCATTAACTCTGCAGTGAATATTCAATACCCACTTAACCCAGAGAGGAACTATGGAAAGAATGGCAGGAGGAACGTGGCAATGACACCAAAATACAAAGAAAAGAATGTTGCATGGCAGATAATGGAATATATATATATAAAACATAAAATCATTTGGAGTAACAGTACACAGTTGTTTTAAAACCGTGATTCAGTGGTAATAATCAACTTTAAATTATACTACTGGTTATGGCTTACTGATGTGGTGAGTGTTAACCAGGACACTGATGTGACCGGAGGAACTGGCCATCAGAACTCAAGGCATCCAGAAAGAAGGAAAAACTTTGAAATGACAACTCTCTTCTTCAACAAGATTCCTGCCCAATTCAGGGACAAGGAAGTTATTTTCCAACTTCAATTATTTACCGGTACACCTCAGCATTTTTTCCGCATCCGCACACTACCTGCACTAGTATTTATTTTTCATGAAATGGGAGTCATTTCTATTCAAATAACTGCATTTTAGGAGAGAACTTTGTATCACCACCCTGGGCAGCCGACCTTACCTACCATAAGCAGAAATGAACTAAAAATAAATAAAATGAAATCAAAAGCCATGTTACCAAATTCTGGCTAGGTACTGTGACCAGCCCCAAACTCCCGGCCTGAGGACTATTCTACCTGGAGTCAAAAGGGATACTGACACGTGTTAGGGATTAACGACCGTCCGGCACCACTGCGAGCCTTTCTCATAATCAGGCCTGAGCGAGAGAGCTGAAAACAGAGAAAGGGCAGAGCTTTGCACGTGATTCAGCACCACTCCAGGCAGGCGTGGGTTCTTCAGATCCCACACTGTGGGCACGGTGACACACACCACACACCGTCCTACTGACCCCAGCGGCCAGGCGCACTGGAGCCCCACGTAGGTGAACCACCGACAGGGTGAGACGCCCACAGCCCCCGGCACTCCTGCGGGGCCGCACCGCGGTTTCGCCAGCCCCGCGCCCACCCCCTCGGCCGGGCCCCGCCTCGGAGCCAAGGCGACAGCCAGCAGGGGCGTCCTGGCGCAGCCCCGTCCGCGCCACCCCTGGCGGCTACCTGGGGCTCTCCGGCAGGATCAGCGCCGTGGTGGCCGCCATCTTCGAAGCTCCCACGCCTGCCGCCGCCGGTCAGCTGTCTCCAGCGCAGCCAATGACGGCAGGCCTACGGAAAGCCGGAAGGCCCAAGCCGCGCCGCCTCCGCCTCCGGGCGCAGGACCGAATCTTGTCCCGGGTCCTCCAGGGGAGAGGAACCCTCCTCGTTGTCCTCCCGCCACTGTCACTGTTCTGTTCTGCCTTAAGACTGTTTGCATATTTTAACTTATTTATATTTATCTATTTGCTTATTATACATGCTCAGCTGACTCTTGAAGAACTAGCCTTTAAGGTTGCCCACCGTGCCACGAGTCAAAAATCCACACGTAACTTCTAACTCCCCCAAAACTTAAGTACTAACAGCCTCCTGTTGACCGGATGCCTTGCCTTATCACCGATAACGTACTCGATGGACTCACTGTGTATGCTATATTTATCACATACTATATTATTACAATAAAATAAGCGGAAGTAAGCTAGAGAAAAGAAAATGTTATTAAGAAAATCCTAAGGAAAATACACGACAGTGCTGGACTATATTTATCAAAAGAATCCGAGCATGAATGGACCTGCACACTTCACACCTGTGTTGTGCCAGGGTCAACTGTATAAATATCTGGATATGGATATGTATTTCTATGTCGTCGGCCTGCATAAACATATATTTAGGTGCGTGTACCTATACATACACATTTTTTTTTTAACAGAAAGTTTAAGCACACCACCGCAGCCAGTGTCTAGCCTGTGCGACAGAGGGGCAGGCAGTGGAAAGCTCTCCCCCAAAGCAGCCCGGGGATGTCACACATCCATCCGCAGGAGAGGTCATGCCACCAGCTCCAGCCTTGGCACTGTGCTATCAGCCCTTCCTCTATCTGTATCCCTGTATTCATTGAGCACCTACTGTATACCAGATACTGTGCTAGGCACTTGGGATACAAAAGACCAAAATTCCTGCCCTCAGGGTTTGCTGGCAGTTCAAATGGACAGGTTTCATTGCGCCCCTCTGCTGTCCGGTGCTGAGCTAGGTACAGCTTAATACGGGAGCGTCATCCCCGCAGAGACTGCCATTTAGAATCTCACAGTAGAGCAAAGACCCAACGTGGGTTCACGAATACCTTTGTATGCCTCAGAGAAAAACATGTAGGGCATTCCAGGGATTCAGACGTAAAAAGAGTGGTAAAAACCCCGGGGGTAGGATCAGGAAAACTTTCTGTTGCAGGAGGCATGAGATCTTGAATGATAGATTACGGCAGGTGCCCTTGAACTAGTGAGAAATGGGGAGTCATTAATGTTTTCAAGCAGAGAAACTTTTGTGATGAGAGCCGCTGTTCTTTTTTTGTCTTCTTTTTGGGTTTTATCTTTTGAAGCTTACTGTCAGCGGAATTATTGGATTGGAAAGAGGTAAGCAGAAAGTCAAACAGGGAATTATTGCAATAATCTATGGAAAGCAATAAAACCCTGTGGTAGTAAAATAGCTTTGGAGAGTGAAAAAAATAGCAAGTGAATTAGCATTACATTTCAGCTGTAGAATCTTCGGGAGCTGGCAAAAGATTGAATTTAATTTTCTTACCTAATTATGTTTTACTTAAATTATTATTTAAATTAGTTGGCATTCCTAGAGCAGCCCCAAAAACATCCTAACTGAAAGGAGAAGCAGATTGCAAATTAAAAGTGAATAATCCCCACATGGATAATTGAGTCAATTATACAGTGTGTTGAACACATACAAATACATTTAATTCCACAACATTCCACACACTCCCCAATTTGTGCAGTATCTGAAAAAGATGTATGTGAATCTACATAAATTATAGGTCTCCGATACAAACACAGATTACTTTACCTGGCATAATTTTAGAAGGGCCCCAGTTCCCTCGACTTCTGAATAATTTCCCTTTGTCTTCATTCATTGCCTGAAGTAGGGCCACTAACCAGCTAAAACCATTTGGAATCTCTAGTGAAATTTACCTCCTCAGTTCCTTCACAACCATAGCTGGGATTTTGAGCAAAAGGGCATCAGGATTTTTCGAGCCCTAAATCCATGTAACCTGGAACAAAGCACTTTACCTCCCTTAAATTTCTTATTCCTGATCTGTAAAATGGGAATGGGAATAATGTGTGTTTGCTCCCCTGGGCTGTGGTAAGAATTAAACAGTGTGACGTGTATAAGGGAAAAGCACTCTCCCCTCCTTTATAACACAAAGCATAGACTTCCAAGGTTTTAGCAAAAAATTCTCCAGGATTTCTCTTAATTTCTCTTAATTTCTTCAAGTATTGGTACTTGTTGCTATAAAGGCTTGAGGCAGAGAATAATTTCACCCTTTAGGTGAGACCCTCACCCAAAATATTTCTGTGGTCTCTGGTTCCATATGGATCCACAGAAAAGTCCTTTGTAGTTGTCTACCTGTGGCCACCTGCTAGAGACAGGATATGTACCTCCTGGAGACACTGTTCCATAGCACACTTTGCCCCTAACCCTCAGACTTGTCAACCCATCTTGCTGATGGATCCAGAGCCCAGATCAGCTGCCCCTGATCTGTTATGGCCATGAAACATACTGAACGCCCCCAAATTTCTTCCGTATCCTTGCCTTCATTGCAACTTTTGCCAAATCCAACTTTTTTTTTTCATTCTGTGTTAGCCTGGATTCTCTAGAAAACAGCCTGAGTTACATGCTAGTGCATCCATGGGGACTGTCATTGTAGGGAATTAGGAGTGAGTGCAAAAGGGAAGGAAGGAAAGGAGGGAAGCAAATACAAGATGGCATGTTATCCAGCTGGTTACAGATCGAAAACCTGGTTTATTTCTCAGTACTGTGATATTTCCAGACACACTATTTTGAGATACCGTGTCTTCCAACAGCCCAAGAGGTGGGAGTGAGCAAATTTGTCTGCAGACTCTTTCCAATCTTCTGTCTCTCATTGATCAAAATTTGTCCCATGGCTCAAACCTCCCCTGGACTCACAGGGTATATCCCCTGGCACCTGTAGGCATTCACTGGAAAATCTAGAGTCCCAAACCTGTAGGAGAGGCGAGCTCAGGGCACAATCCCTGCCCATCCTTCTCTCCAGATGGTCCTCTCCCACCCACCACCCACCTGCCAAGGATGGCCACAAGGGGCAGACTTTAAGACCAACAGTTCAGGGGCGCCTGGGTGGCTCAGTCGTTAAGCGTCTGCCTTCGGCTCAGGTCATGATCCCAGGGTCCTGGGATCGAGCCCTGCATTGGGCTCCCTGCTCGGCGGGGGGCCTGCTTCTCCCTCTCCCTCTGTCCCTACTTGTGTTCCCTCTCTCACTGTGTCTCTGTCAAATAAATAAATAAAATCTTTAAAAAAAGACCAACAGTTCAAAGTTCCAGGGGCCCCTTTATTGGGAAACTTGAACAATGCGCTGCCTGAGATGCAGTGAGGCTGAGCATATCTGGAGAGGTACATCACTCAGAGACAGTTTTACACCTTGGGTGGAATCTCAGCTGAAGAGTTGCTTGAGCCTTGAATGTTTTAGCTCTTCAGTGATGCAGCCTTTTTAGTTCACATATACCTGGTTGTTTTACCAAAGCCTACAACAGCACAGATTGGAGTGAGGTCCACCGTGTCCTGGGAGCTAACACTTCCTTCTGGGTGTGACCTTTGTCCTGTTTGGAGACCCTCCCTCTGGGTGAGTTCCTTCTCAAGGGCCCCATGGCCATTTCCTGCAACACAGCCTGCACCCACTCTCTCCCCACTAGGCGTGATTTATATCTTTGACACTCAATGAAGTAGATACAAGATCTGAGCATTCCCGATCTCCAAAGTCTCCACCAACACTTAAGTAAACCCTGGGTACATTTACAATGCAAATGGTTATCTCTGGAGGAAGGGTAACACCTACTCACACAACAGACTAGTATCTGAGCCTCAGGAACCCAGTCCAGCTGGGACGAACCTGTAAGTAAGCCCTTGATATATATTGTCAAACTGGGGCATATAGGCATTTTATTATGCACCCAGAGTATCCTGGCATTGGGTTAGCTAAGCATCTGGCCCAGGTCCTTAACTCTGTGAAAGTCTGTAGTCCTACAACTCATCCTGAGTTTCTCAGGTGAACTATCAAAGGTAGTTCAGAGTCACATAGGGTGGAGGACTAGAACTATCTGCTACTCACCGCCCTATCCCCAGATGACTACAAATACAAAATTCACATTCAGCTGCTTTGTCGCATTCGCTTGCAGAAGCCATCGGACCAGTTTTTCTCCTCCTCAACACCACACGGAACACACACCTCCCCCTCTCCACACCAGCCCTCGGTCACAGTTGTGAGCCCTGTTTTTAGCTCTCTAGTCAGCACATGCCTCATAGGTGTGAGGGAATCAGCTGGAGTGGAACTGAAGAGCACCCTTCTAGATGAGAAACATGTTCCTTCCACATTTTCTCGGTCACTTCTCAGGGGAATGAAGTTTCAAAATTGCATATTTTTATTTATGAGTCGGTTATATGACTGTTCCTGTTTGGTGTGAGATACATCAGGAATAAAGAATGCATGAGCATCATCTGTTCTCTGAGTATTTGCACACCAGGCTGTGATGTGGAAAGGAAGTGAGAAGCTTAGGAAAAAAGGAAAAGAGAAGAGAAGAGAAGAGAAAAGAAGGAATAGCATCAAGCCACATTTGCTGATAACAAAGAGTATTAACCAAATGGAGGGTGGCCAAGGGTATAGGAAGGAAACATTTATTAAAATGTGACAGGGGCGCCTGGGTGGCTCAGTCGTTAAGCCTTCAGCTCAGGTCACGATCCCAGGGT